ATATAAATTCAGTCTGTATCAACTAAATTATAGCATATACAAGTTCACTGTTAGTTTCAAAGACTATCTCAGCCACTTTCCTGAGGAGTTACCTCCTGCCCAGATGCTCAGAATGGGGACCTCTGGCTCACCTAAGAGCAGGAGCAGCCTTACAAGTGATTCATGACCAAATGAAAGCTATGGTTAGCCACACTGATGAAATGTTGATCTCGTGCACGTAAAGGCGTTGATGCTTTTGGAAACATAAACTTTGCCTCCACTGACTCACATCAGATGGTTTTAGTACTTGTGCTTCTGATAAAGACCAGGTGACAGAGGATGCATGAGTTTTCTTATTTTAAGACCGAAACTTACTACTGCAGTGGTTACGGTTATAGGACATTATTATTACTACCAGATTCTTATAGTTGGAGTTTCCTATACAGATTTTGAACTCTTATAAGTCTCTTAGAACCACCCAATTAGCAGTGAGTCACTCCTGATAGAGATCAAGTTACTAAAATTAACAATTTTTCCACTTCAAAGCTTACACACACTCACACAAACACATGCAAGAAATTGCTTAAATTCTTACTCACTGATGATACAGTGACTCAAGTTGTCGAGGCCTTAGTATTCTTTAAGCCTGTTACCAGAGAATTAATATCTATTGAGTGTAACTATGCTACAGAACCTTAAATTACCACATGCAAATGCACACATGAAATTATCAATTAATTCTGATGAAAGCGCTAACAGTTATTGTTATTCTTATTTACAAGTACAATAAGTGAGGCTGAGGCTTAGAACTCCAGCGCACTGCCACACGTTCTCCCTAACACGGGGTGATATATTCAGTATGACTGAATGAATTAATTCTAGTCCCAGAGGGAACTGCTGATAAAACGAGAATTAATTGTGTGGTAAAAGTCAATGTATTCATGCTTTTAAGCTTATGCAAAAGATCAAGTACTTTATGTAATTGTACATCTAACTAATTTATTCAAGTTAACGTACGATTAATAAACATGGACCACATATTGATGGAGGCACACTTTTGTAAAGATTTTCAGTAATGACAGACTTTTAAACTTTAACCAAAGGTATGAAAAAAATGATTATATTTTCAAACTTAAAGTACACATGTTAATGGTTGAACAATCAGTAATAAAATTGTTAGGAGTATTATACAAGCGAATATTTTTTCCAGTTTCATAAATCAAGAGTATTTATCATCTCTTTCCTCAGTTTATATTTGGATTGTCACTCTGAAGGACACTATGCAGCTAATCACTTAAGTCACTTTGGGGACAAAAATTTGTTGCATTGGCAATCTATGCAATTTTACATTCTTAAATGTAGCAAGGAAATTATTTTGGCATTTGTTAGAACAATATCCTGTTCTTAGAAACATCTCATAGAAGGAAAATACACTTGAGATTTTGCTTTAAAATATTTTAATAATGAGGTAGACTCATATCTATATCTATATCTATATCTATATCTATATCTATATGTATGTAGATTCACATTATATTGTAACAGTTTACAATAAAGATAGCACTGACTTAGTTTTCAAAAACAATTTGCAAGTTTTTCACAGATGAATACTTTTGGGTCCAGATTTCTTTCTTTGCATTCGAAATCTGGGTCACTGAAAAATTTCATCCATCTAAGACTTCTAGACTAAAAAACTAATCTAATGGAGACAAATTGACAGCATTCTAACTGGTTGAAAGGGCTGAATACTAATCATTTTTCAGAAAATTAATGTGGTTAATGAAAAGCCTTGGCAAACTTCTGCTAAGTATCTGACTACTAACTTCTTGCATATGTAATACCCCAGTGAATCTTCATAAGCATTTTGTGGCGATGATGCCATCATATCCATTGTACAGATGGAGAAACGAAGGCTTAGCAGTGACTTAGGAGGGGAACCAGGACTAACCGCACACTGGTCTGACTTGCTCCTCAATATGCCGCCTTCTGCGCCACCAGTCATGACTCATCGGCTCCAACATGGGAACATAGGAAGCCTTTGTTTTTTTTTTTATCATAAATCTTACTGGACTAAACAGCCTACAATATTAAAGTTCATGCTTATTCAAAATACAATTAATCTTTGATACATCTGTGTTCTGTATTCGCGAGTTTTTCTACTTCTCAAGTCAATGCTCACAGTGCTTTGATGGTCGTCTGCAACATGTGAGGAATATGGAGAAATGGGCCTCGCAGTGGGTGCATTTGAAGTGGAGGTCAAGCAAGGCAATCGTCTGTCTTCTCATTCCAGCATCTAGGCCATACATAAGTCTCTTTTCCCATATTTATGTACAGCCACATTGTAACTATTTCATTGTGCTTCTTTGTGGATTGTTTTGCTGTTTAAGAGCTCCAAGTACAGCAGTGGAGTGCTGGCTAGTGTTCAGTAGTGCAAGAAGGTGTTGAAAGGGTTTGCTGAAACAGTATGCATATTAGCTTCCTTCAAGCATTATTTATAGTGCTGTTGGCCATGTGTTTAACTGTGATTAATTATGAATAATATTAAGTAGTATATCTCTTAATAGAAATGCACATAAAGCAACATTACATGTTGAGCTTATCAAAACAGGTTGACCAGAAATTTTCAGAAACCCTGTATTTGTGCAGGAGCAGTGTTTTCAGTGTCTGGTCGTTTAGTGTTTGCAGATGCTAAGGGCCAGTGGTGGTGAGCCTGCAGGACTTGTGCTGGCGCAGGCTGTTATATCACTGAAGGCTCTAAGACATTCACTCCCTCTCTGCTACAGAACATCGTCATGAAAAGCAGTATTCAGCTGCCTGCGAGTTCACTGTTCTATGTAGTGGCGTCTTTATAGAGGTGAAGTTCATGTTCTTGTATTAAAGTTTTACTGTGTTGTAATTATTCTGCTGCTGGAAGCCCTATGCAAGGATTCACCCATAAATATAAACTTCGTGGGTTAAACATACATCTGCATTAATTGGGTGTTTGAAGTCAGAAGTTCATAACATGTTTTATAGGAAGGAGGGCTGCAAGGAAAGCCAGCATTTTGGCTGTAGCCTTCCAAGGTCAATTAAGACTCAGGAAATATGAGAACTTGTACTGTAGCATCATGTAACTCAGTAGTGTCCCAAATTTTCTGATTAAGGAGATTATGGGGCCAAAGAAGAAAGTGATCGATGATGTAGAATGTGCCTAAGGAGAGTCACGTGGAGAGAAAACATTCTCTCAGGCTTTCACAGAGAGTACATTGGCCAAGCAATGGCTGTGACTCATCCACATGGCTGCACTGACAAAGGTTCTACAATCTGAGGTACAGGGTCTCAGGATAAATCCTGAGGGGATTTAACTGACCTTATCAGATCCAAAAGCTACAATTCTTGTTACATAGGTCTTGCTTTATCTTGGTCTT